AGGTATTGAGGATTGCATGAGGTAATACAGTCCACATGCTCAGCACACCTGGAGTGTGGTGTGTGCTCAGTATGTAGCAATACATGGCGTTGACTCTGACCTCTACCCCTCCTACCTCGCCATTCATTCATTCATTCATTCACTCAAACTGCTTTTTCTTCTGTAGCTCATGGCTTCCAGTTGTCTGTATGGAGTTGTTCTCACAAACCTCGAGTAGTTGCCTTTGCTTTTCCCCCTTTGGCTTGCTGTTATTTCTGTAGAATGAGCTCAGGTTTGAGTCTTACGTTAGACCCTGTACTGTGAGGCCTCGCCGCTGGGCAGCCCCCGTTCGCTCCATGTCCCCTGCTGCTCCAAGAGCCAAATGTGCCGGTGGGCTGTGTGCTACACTTTTGATCTCGATTTAGCTGGCAGACTGTTTGATCATTAAAAACCACACATGTGAATCATACAGACCCCGGGTTTAAGTTCTGCCTCTTAGCAGCTGTGTGATTTCAGGTACGTTGCTTTCATCTCTGAGGCTGAGTATCCATTTTTTTTCCATCTTTAACAGAGGGACAGTGTCCCTGCCTCCCTCCAGCCCCCAGAGGTGACTAGGAGGGTTACATGTAAACGATCCATGGGCAGCTCCTAACGGGGGGCTAGATACACAGTAATGTGTTTTTTTAGTGGTATATTTTTTTGACTTTTTAAAATGTAAGTATAGGTGGTATACAATATTATATTAGACTCAGGTGTACACTATGGTGAATTGATATTTTTATACCTTACAATGTGATCACTCCACTAATTCTATTGGGTGGTTGGAAAAGTCGTGATGTATTTTTTTCTGTTTTTCATTGCAAAAATGCATCATGACTTTTCCGACAATCCAATAGTAGTCATCTGTCACTGTCCAGTAAATGTTTATTGACAACATTATTGACAGTTAATGTTTCTCCCCACTTATTCCTTCAGAAGTCACCACTGTAAGTGGTTTGCTTACTCCCCCCCCCCGCCCACCCTTCCTTCGTTTATGAGTGAGGTGTGCTGACTCGCATGTTAATGCATTAAAATACTATTATACTCAATTCAGGACAGCTCCCTATTAGGAATTCATGAAGATTCCGTTAGGGCCCAGGCTGGAAGTGACCTTGTCTGTTTAACCTCATGGGAGAGCGAGGGAGGCCAAGGCAGAAGGGAGGATGGTGGCTGGGTCGGGGCCCCTCGCGCCCAGAGCTACTTTTGCGAGCTGCGTGATAGTGGTTTTGTGTCATAGTAAGTAGCGCACATCTGACAAAATGGGGCATGTCAGGAGGGCTATCGTATTTATTAAAACAACAACAAAAAACACCACAACCACCAACAAAAACACCCTTTCATGCCTATGGTTCCTGGGTGGACTCTTGCGGGGAGCAGAGGGTTTCCTGGATGCTAATATCTCACCTGGTGATTGTACAAAAGCCACTTGTTCCCAGGTATGTCAGATGCCACCCTTGCAACTTCCTAATTATGTGAACTTCGCGTTCCCCCGTTTAAGCTTTGGAGCTAAGCATTGAGTTTGTCAGCACTTTAACGGAAGTCTTCCATGGTTACTGCTGCTAAGGAAAGAATGTGTCTGGAATCTCCTCCACGAAACTCTCTAAAATTTTTAATTTCCTGAGCGTGTTAGAGAGAGGAGCGTATAGGGAGAATTGAAGGTTAGAATTGCAATTTAGCTTCTTGATGTGAACAGTTTTGATGTGTATCTCGCAGGCACCATCCCATAAAGCTTCTTAAAGGGGAGACAGAAATGCGGTTAAGACATAGAGCCATTCACTGTCACCTCCCATGAGCTCCCTCTTGCGTCCTTCCTTGCCTTTCCCACGTGCCCGTGACCGCAGCCTCTGCCCTTCCACAGATGCCCCTCCTTGCACTTTAGGAGGGCGCTGGATGGAGGGAGGGGACACTGACATGAAAGGCCATCATGGTCACCCACATATGAGCTGTTACGCCATCAGGCAAATGATTTCTCCTATGGGCCTTAGTTTTCTTATCTGTAAATCAGGAAGAAGACCCCGTTTACCTGGACTTTTTTGGGATTAAGTTAAACCCTCAGTTTCTCAGGCTCTGCAGTACAAAATAATACCCGAGACACACCAATAATCCAATGGCTGTGGGAAATGCTATGTACTTCCTATAAGTACCATCAAGTCTGTAGGGGGGTAGTTTCTGTAATCCAGGAACCCCATTTAGTCCTGTTCACTTGTGCTGGCTAATCCTGAGCCAGCAAGAACAACATCACTGGGTTCCTCCGCCACCTCCTTCTTCTTACTATGTCAGGAACCTGCTACCTTCATTCCCCGACGTGGAGTCCAGATAGAGGGAGCTGGCCACGGTGCACGCGGGAGTCCATGTCCACTCCAGACCAGGCCAAGTCCTGCAGAAACTCCAGGCCCAAATCACTCCGGAGTTCTGGTGTGATTCTAAAACCATCTTTATAGACACGTTTCCGCCAGCTGACCCTTATGAATAATAATAAAAAAACATTCTATTTGCAAGCAGGGTGCGAGTGAAAGAACTGAGGTGAAGAAAGCATTGTCGTTTGTAGTTAGGGAGCAACGGAAGTGGTTAGATTCCCCCTTTCAATGAATAGAAAGGCAGAAAGGATGGTTTTCCCGGCAATGATGAGATATGAAATGGTCTTTTTCCACGGGCAAAAGCAGTAGCGAAGAGAAGAAAATGCTTTGCAAGATGAACAGAGGTGGAAAGCAAACACCGAGCAAAGGACAGATTGCAGTGTCCTTAGCAAATAAAGGAATGCCTGAAAAAATATCAGGCCACGTGAGAGAAAATAATGGACTTGGATATTATTTGTAAAAGAATGGAGGTGATTCCTTTTTTAAATCACACAAATTAGAAAAACTGATAAGCAATTCATTTGTTTTTATATTCATGGCATCAATTTAATTTGTCATTAATTAAATGGGCAAATTTGGGAATGCCTGTTTTGAGAAAATGCTCTGAAAATAACCTTGTAACATCAGGTTAAAGACACATTATATGCCCTGAAGGTAACAGGAAGAAAAAGGGAAATTATGAAATTAGAAAGTGACCTATAATAGTTGCTTTACTGTTTAAGGTTCTATAACCTTCAGTATCAGTCAGGACTTCATTTGATGTGTAATTTCACTGGCTGTCTAACTTATCAAATTAAATTAAGTACGAATGAGGAAATACTTGGCTAGGGAAAAAAGTACCATGCCATTTTGCTTTCTGCCAACTGAGAACCAAACCAATTAGCACAGACAAGGAAAAATAAGCTAAAATATTTTATTGGAGGAGGAAAAGTTAAAAGATATCTTTCTCCCCAAAGTGGCCTGGCAAAAGGTAGTTGACAGAGCCCAGCCTGCTCTGTGCCCAGGATAGAGAAGGGGCTGTTTGCCTCCATTTATACCCCTGAGAGCTGAGCGCCGATCCTGTGCCAGGTTCAGATCAGTATTTTATGGGGAAAAGATTGCCTGCACCCCGCTCTGGGCCCGATGCGTCCAGGCCACCGCTCCCTCAGCTCGTGCAGATGAGCAGTTTTCCAGGTGGTCCCCTGCTCTCTGCAGATACTCAGACAAGCTCCCCCACTGGCAGCGCCCAGCGTTGCGCTCAAAGCATCTCCAATTCTGTGTCCCCACATGGTCATCCCATGGCAATACCAGCGGGGGAGGACATTTCCTGACCTCCTGTCCACCGGGGGCCAATATTTGACGTGAGGGAAAAGGGACTTGTGGACTGCGTTTTGGAAGCAGGGACAGCCGAGGTTGTTGAGAACTGAGAGAGGAGCTTGCGCGGGAACCCGGAAGGCTGTGGGAACCCACCAGGAGGTGGGGTGCAGAGTTCTCAGCTGGCAGGAGAGTCTCCCTGGGCCCCGGGTTTCTCAGCAGCAAAGGAAGGAAGGCTGTGAGAAGAGAAGCTTCTAGCTCAGATGCTGGTGCTTCTGTGCTGCTCGCCGGCTTGGGCACCTGGAATTCTTTTCTTCCTCTTTGAAATGGGAAGGGAAGCACTGCTCTGTGTGTCTTTCCAAGTGACTCATGACAGGGAATTTTAGTAAGAAACCTGCACTTTCTGTCTGCGCCCTGTCCCTTGCTTTTGCTCACCTGGCACCTGCTTGCTCTCACCCCCTGTTGACAATCTCATCGTTCCTGGTGTGGCCGCAGGCGCCATCTGAACAGCCTCACTTTATTTCTCTGCGCTATGAACCTGTGTTTTCAAATGGGTCCTTTCTCTTCTAACTATACCTTTAAACCCCACCCTGCCCCACCGTGGAACTGGCCTCCTCTCTAAAAATGTACCTCCTTCTGTTCTAAATTGCACACACGCACATTTCCCGGGAAACACTTAATTCTACAAAAGTGTCTCTATGTATTATTTGGACGAAAAGTGTCAACCGTACTGAAGTTGTTCAGTTCTCCATTAATCATTTACTTGTCCCAGAAGATATAGCCACACATCTATGGACCAATATGGGTCTACAAGTCAACAGATAGATAGCTGGTGAAAAAGGTATAACAAGTAATACATTTTGGAATACTACCTAACTCTATGGTTTAGACTTTCAGGGCGAGTATGGATACTACTTTAAAAAAAAAAAAAGATCAGATTTTAACAAAGCCCTTACAGAAAGCAAAAAGCTAATGTGACATATACAATCTCTCTCTCTCTCTCTCCTCTCTCTCTCTCCCTCCCTCTCTCTCTCTCTCTCTCTCTCTNCTCTCTCTCTCTCCCTCCCTCCCTCTCTCTCTCTCTCTCTCTCTCTCTCTCTCTCTCTCTCATTCTCTCTCTCCCTCTCTATTTAGTTAATCATGGGATACAGCATTACACTTTTTTCCCCACATGAACTTCTCCCGCCATTAGGTCTGGTCAGTAGTATTTAAAATATAGAAATCCTGTTCATTAAAATATCTTCATTAAAATAGAGATTTCTTCCCTTAGAAAAAAGAACTCAAAACTTTTTAGGGCCTAGTTTTTAAAAGCATCGTGCTGTAGTTGATTTCTTTGGGTGGTTGTTTTCAGGGATGTGAAAAATATCACTGCTGCCACTAGCAGGAACTATAAATGATCCATTATTGCAAATGTTCTAAAAAAATCAGAACAAAACTAATTTATTATAGTTCTGTCTTCATTATACACCACACGTTGGTGAGTTAAACACAACAAAATTATTGTCTTTTCTTTTAAAAGTGTCTACTAAAGATAAAAAGAATAAGGTAACAATTAACATGTAGTTTGTTACATTAAAAAAATCTGATATACATATTTCTATTGCTTGTTAGCTTTTTCTAAGCCTCTTTAAACTATTACAAAAAAAGAAAAGTCATTGTTCAAAGGCAAACATTCAATTCAGTTGATACAACATTACAGTACAGTTAACTAACATCATTCAACGAAGGTAACAAGTCTAGCCTTAGCTTCTTGAGTGAAAAGTCTGTAGACCAGATTGCTACAAAAAGTTCAGTGCTGCTTCACAACGGTGTTGTTAGCAGAGGAAGTGGTACTTTCTACTGATGGCTTCAGAAGAAGGGGTCATGCTACTGGTAAAAGCACAGGGGAACCCCAACCTGTTGTTAATCGTTTTATTGAGCATTGGAGTTAGAACAGCATTATTGAGTTTAGCACAACTAAAACAAAATAATAATAATAATATAATAATAATAATCATAATAATGATAAGAATAAAAACCAAACACAAACTGGAAGCCCGGAGACGCTGCCAGCCGTGTGAAACTCTTGCGATACGCTGTACTAAAAAAATTTGAAATATCCACCCGTCCTCTCCACTCTGCCACGAACTAGCAAAGTCAAAAATACAAAAGTCTTCAACTTGTTACTTTTGCAGAATAAAGCAAAAATGTCTTTGTGCTCCTTACTACCAGAAGCAAAACATCCACGGAGTTACCACATGTAATAGCTTCTGGATGTGTCCACCTGGGTTGGCTTGGTGTCTGCAGAGCCATCTTTGTCTTTCTCACTGTCACCTTCCCAGAGGTTAATGAGTGGTGGGTACAGCTCATTTAGTGGGATGGAAGAGGTCTTTTGCATATACTTTTTCAATGAATGGTGGTAGTTTTTCCTCTTAAATCTCTTGGCAATATACACAGCAATGGACGCAAGGCTAATGACAGCAAACATGGACCCCATGACCGCAGCCAGCGCTGTGCTGGTTTCTTGATCAGAAATGTCCAGTGCGAAGGCCGCGTTTTTGGTTGTCACGTTCACACATGACCTTTGAGTCTGCTGATGGATATTGGACACCGTGAGACACACTTCGTAATCTGTGGAAGGCTGCAGGTGTGTGAGGTTGTACTCGTGGACATCCACGGGGACCCTGGCAGTGTATGTGATGTGGGGGTTGTCAATCTTCATGGTGGCAGATGACCACTTTAAGTTTGACGTCATGACATTGGAATTAACTTTCCAGGACACTAGAATGGAATGAGATTCCGTCTGCTTGACGTATATTTTCAGCACCTGGGTGCCATCCAGAAGGGTTCCGTTTACCTTAATTGTCACCACGCGCGTGTCCGCCCCTTCCACATTCTGGGCGACACAGGTGTATCTTCCCGAATCTTCGATCTGTATGTTGGCTATTTCCAAGGTGCCTTCACTACTTAGCCTGTATTTCTCGGAAAGCACTTCCACAGTTATCTTGTTTCCAAGGGGCGTCACCCAGTAAATTTCGGGCTCCGGCTCGGCCATGGCGCGGCAGTCCAGGAGAACCGCCGTGCCGATGTCCACGCTTAAATGGCTCGGGAACGTGTCGTGAGCTATCATGGGGAGACACTGCTCGCCGGAGTCCTGGACCAAGGCCTCCTTCACCTGCTGCCCCCGGTACTCGGGTGGCGTGGCGCAGAACATGGACAGCGGCTCCATGAAGCGGATGTTGGTCTTGTTGGAGTTGATCCAGTGGGTGACGCAGTCGCAGCGCAGGGGGTTGCTGTGGATGCTGATCTCGCGCAGGTTGGGGAGGGACTCGACCGTCTTCTGGTAAACGGCGTTGAGCGCGTTGTTGTTGAGCATCAGGCTCTCGAGAGCGGGCACGCCGCGGAAAGCCAGACGGTGGATGTAGGACAGCTTGGGGTTGTTGGTGGCCTCCAGCTTCGTGAGCTCCGGCAAGTTATCCAGGGCGTAGCGGTCCACGGACACCAGCTCCCCCATGTTGTTGATCCCCAGTTCTTTCAGGCGGAGCATGTTCCGGAAGTCCCCTTCCTGGATTTTGTGGATGGGGTTTTTGTTGAGGTCCAAGAATTTCAAGTTGGGAACTTTCTGCAGGGCGAGCTGAGGGACCTTGACCAGCTTGTTATCATAGAAAGACAGGCTTTCCAGGCTGTCCAGGCCCACCAGCGCGTTCCCGGGGACGTCGGTCAGATACATGCCGGCCAGAACCAAGCTTCGCAGGTTCGCCAGCGGCCTGAAGTTCATGTCCAGGATGCCGATCACGGGGTTTTCCCCGATCATGAGGATCTCCAGGTTGGGCGTCGAGTCAAACCAGCGGCTGTCGATGACCTTCAGTTTGTTGGAGTTCAGGTGGAGCCGTAGGAGGTTTTTTAAGCCTGAGAACGCGTTCGCGGAGATGGCGCTGATCTGGTTGTGGTTGATGTAGAGCTCCTGGAGGTTGCTGAGGTCCTGCAGGCAGAAGTCCGTCATCTCGGTGATCTGGTTCTCCTCCAGGTGCAGCGTGGTGAGCTGCGTCAGGTTGGCCAGCCCCACCTCCCTGATGCTTGTGAAGTTGTTCTGGGAGAAGTCGAGCTCCGTCAAGTTGAAGAGCTGCTGCAGCTCGTCCGCCGTCCTGGCGATGTTGTTGCTCTGTAAGAGAAGCACTTGCGTGTCGCTGGAGAGGTTGCCGGGGATCCGGGTGAGGCGGAGGTCATTGCAGTCGACGGTGGTGGCTTCCCTGTACGTGGACTGCGGGGTGAACCAGGGCCTGATTTCACACACGCACAGCTGCGGGCACTCGCCGCCCTGCAGGGAGGACCCAGTCAATGATGTCATCAGCAAGCCCAGCACCAGTCGACAAGCTGCTGACGACACAAAGCTCATCTTCGCCATGCTGGCCTCCACCCTGACACTCGCGAGTGTGCACAGCAGGGGGCGCACTCTCGGGCGCTACGTGGGACAGCGAGCAGAGAAGGTCAACATTCACGCCAGTGAGTCCGGCTGGGCTGGGGGGCGTGGGGTTCCAGAGTCTGAAGGGATGGTTTTCCGCAGTTTTCAAAAGGGAGGAAGCACTTTGGAGTCTGTCAGCTGCGTCCCTCGATCGCAGGCATGCCCATGGGGCTGGAGCATGCGTCGCTTCGGCCGAACCCCAGTCTGGAGATGTGCCTGCAAATGCAATTAGGACAGATGTTATGTTTATTCCTGAGGCTTCCTCGTCATAGCCTTTCTTTCGTCTACTAAAAAGGCACAATCGCTTGCAAATCTAATAACAGAATGTTCAAAATAACTAAACAAGGTTTTCAATTGCAAGACACTGTTACTGTATTTCGCTTGCTACATAAACTGGTTACCGAGTTTACAATTAAATTGGGACTGCTTGTATTGGGTGAAGTCTCACACACACTCACTCACACACTCACTCACACACTAGGAGCGCTCTGAAAAGCCCCCAGATGTCAGTTCTTTACAAACAAAAGCCACTTTAGAAATTTCACATATGTATAGCTCCAAAAAAATCAAAAGGTCAAAAGCAAAGCATGACAGGCAGTGAATTAAAGACTCAAAGTTCATGCTTAGTTATTTACATGTTAATTAATATTTTATTGGTTTCCTGCAACTCTTTTCTGAACAGTACATTCTATAGACATATTCAACCAGTGCTTTTCTAGCTCGATTATTCTTATGCAAAAAATTAATTGACCACAACTACAATAGGAAAATATCGCTTTTTCTGATATTCTCATAGCCACATCTGATTCTGGCTGAATAAAATAGTAAAAGGACTCCATTCCACCATACCATGGGTCTCCATTAAAACACTAATAAGCATGTCTACGTAACACATGTATGATTTCATCAATCTCATGGGCATGTCACTGGCCCTTCAGAAGTGATGGACCATGGGTATGCTGGATATGTTATTGAACCTGTTGAAACCTCCACTTCTTCAACTATAAAATAGGGTTGGTCATACAAGAACTTCTTGTAGGATTTTTTTTTTGAATTTTTTATTTTTATTTTTTATTTTAATTATTTTTTATTATGAAATACACATTTTTTAGAATTAGTTTCAGCTGTACAACACAGTGCACTAGTTATACTTTTTACCCCTCGAAGTGACAACCCCCCTCCCCCAATCCGCCGCCCCACTTCCCCCCAATATCATACATATCTATTACAATTCCCTTGACTCCACTCCCACACTATACTCCATATCCCATGACTATATATATATATATATATATATATATATTCACTTATAGTTGACATACAATAGTATACAACTTCAGCTTCAGGTGTACAGTGCAGTGATCAAGCCTCTTCCCCATCCATGATGCAGTCTCCCTGGCAAGACATGTGACCACCTGACACCCCACAAAATTGTAGGAGTATTGAGAAAATGAAAGGAACCTATGTTAAGCTCTTAGGGTAGTGCCTGACTGAAATTAAAGGCTGATAAAAGTTAACTATATTTATCTTTATTATCTTAGTGTAGTTTTAACTGAATAGTGGTTGTCGGAGGGACAAGTAAACGGAGGAAAGCTGGGATGTTTGATGTTATTTCGCCATCACCTGTTGGTTTTAATAAGGTCTGAGGTGAAATAGGTACGGCTCACCCGCTTGTAAGGATGACATTAGTATTTAATGGTTCGAGTTCTCAGGATTCCAATCATGTGTAAAAAGCCACATGGATTCAGTGTCTGTTGGGCTTTCTCAAGGCTGTTGCTTGCTAAGGTGCTAAAAGCACAGCTCTGTGCTTACATTTGTGTCTCCATAGTGAACCTCAGCTCTGAGTCCTGAAGGAACTTCCATGCCTAGTGTTTTCTTTACTCATATAAGGTGACCGTAAGGATCCAGTAAGACAGGGCATAATGTGCTTAAAGGCTGGTGCTCAACACATAGCAGGCTTTCCGTTCACATTAGCTGCTGCTGTTATCTCTTTGCAAAACATAGTTATTATCCTCGTGATTCATCAAGAAGTACAATCACACAAAGAGCCGGTCCTAAGAGTTCCGTATTGGTCATATTTTAGTAGAGACAGGGGAAAGTCTTACATTTTGTGGTTGTTTTAAACAATATGCAAACTGAGTTGCTGGTCTAACAAGATAGAATTAAAAAGAAAAAATCTTGCCGTCCAGATTGGGCAGTTTGGAGGTGGAAGCAGGAAAGGGCTGTGTGGCGTGGTGCAGGCTACGTGCCGTCTCTGTGGGGAGGGACTGGCATTGTCCTCCCCCACGCTGGTTACATTACCATACATTACATGTGCGCAAAACTTGTCACTATCATAAAACCACCTGCTTCTGACTGTTATCAGGAAATTCTGTACAATGAAAACATACTCAGAGAATAACAGATTCTGAATATTATTACCTCCGCAAATTTATTCCACTGTCTGTGTGTCCAGTGAAAATAATCCTAAACCAGGTACAATGACCACAATAAATGTTCAGAGAAGAAAATTTCTGCCACATCCTATTCCTTAGTCTTAATTCAAAATAGAAAAACAGAACAAAACAAAAAAACAAACAACAAAAAACACCCTACTTTTATATCTCTGAGAGGGAATTTCAGTTAATTCTGATGTTTTGATTGAATTTAAGGATGCATAGTAAGAAATGTGTTAAAGTTGTGTGAGTCTCCCCAAACAATCTGTCGCCGTTGAAAAATATCTTTTATGGGGCAACGCTTTGAATATTGTTGTGAGGAATGCCTCCATTTTAGTTTAAATGATATGATTTGAGGCAATTATGTTGCAATACTCAAATTTCTCTTTGACATATACACATACCGCCTTAAGCAAGCAAGCAAACAAGCAAGCAAACAAACCACAGGAGCTCAGAATGTCAGCTGTCATATCAAGCATAGAGGGAAGACATTGTCCTCTCCCAGTCCTGCATTTGGCTCTGTGGAGCACAGAATAAAGCTTCCTAACACAAAAGGAGGTGTTTACGGTGCTTCTCTTTGTGTGCCATTCTGAGTTGCCTTTGGCATATTTCCCGAGCCTAAGTTTTGACTACGACATTATACATAGGACAAAGCTTCATAGAGTTCTTAAAACATTTTATACACTTACAACATAAGGCATGTCTCAGGAGCTATTCACTAACGATGTTTAAAAGTAAATCCATTATCACAAGAGAAGAAAACTACAGACCAATATCCCTGATGCAGAAAATACATTTGACAAAACTTAACACCCTTTCATTATAAAAACAACCAACAAACTAGGAATAAAAGGAAACTGCCTCAACATAATAAAAGCCATGTGTGAAAGGCCCACAGTTAAAACCATACTCATTGGTGAAACAGTGTAAGCTTTTCCTCGAACACCAGAAACAACGCGAGGATGCACACTCTTGCCACTGCTATTCAACTTGGTACTGAAGTCCCAGCCAGAGCAATTAGACAAGGAAAAGAAATAAATGACATCCCAATTGGAAAGGAAGAAGTTAAATTATCCATTTGCAGACGTTATTATCTCATATATAGAAAACCCTGACGATGCCCCCAAAAGCCTTCAAACTGTTAAGATAAATAAGTGATTTCAGCAAAGTTGCAGCGTATAAAGTAAACACATAAAAATCAGTGTTTCTATGCCCTAACAATGACAAATCCAAAAAGGAAATTAAGAAAATCCAACTTACAGTAGCACCAAAAAGAATAAAATACTTAGGCATAAACTTGGCTAAGGAGACAAAAGACTTGTATGCTGAAAACTACAAAACACTCCTAGAAGAAATAAAGCATACAAACAAAATGGAAAGACATCCCATGTTCATGGATTAGAAGACTTCATATTGTTGAAATGTCCCTACTACCCAAAGTGATCTACAGAGTCAGTGCAACCCTATCAAAATCCCAATAGCAAGTTTTGCAGAAATAGAGAAGAAAATCTTAAAATTCATGTGGAATCTCAATGGACCCCAAACAGCCAAAGCAAACTTGAAAAACAAAGTTTCAGGCCTCACATTTCAAAACGTACAAAAAGAACAGTAACCAAGATGGGGTGGAATTGGCATAAAGACAGTCAAATAGACCAATGGGAGGGAAACCCTGGAAATAAATGCTTGTGTGTATGACCAGAGGACCGCTGACAAAAGCGCCACGCCTACACAATGAGGAAAGGATGTTCTCTTCAACAAATGGTGTTGGATGTTCACTGCAAAAGAATAAAGTTAGACCCTTGCCCTACACCATATATAAAAGTGAACTCAAAATGGATTAAAGGTCTAAATGTAAGACCTCAAACTAGCAGACTCTAAGAAGAAAACATAGGGAAAAGCTTCGAACATTGGACCCGGCAGTCCTTTCTTGGCTAAGTCACCAAGAAGACAGGCAACAAAAGAAAATATAGACAAATGGGATTGAATCAAACTTAAAAACTTCTGCACATCAAAGGAAACAATCAGTGAGTGAAAAGACAATCTGCGGAGTGGGAGAAAATATTTGCAAATCATGTATCTGATACGGTGGTTAATGTCCAGAATACACAAGAAACTCCTATAACTCTAAAACAACATCATGACTCAGCCCCTTCCCCAAAATAACCTGATTAAAAAACAGCTAAGGGATTTGAATAAATTCTCTGAAGAAGATATATAAATGTCCAATAAGCAAATGAAAAGATGCTCATTATCACTAATCAGAAGAGAAATACAAATCAAAACCATAATGAGATAATCACCTCACACCTATGAGAATGGCCACCATCAAAAAAACAGAAAATAAGTGTTGGAGAGGATATAGAGAAATTGGAACTCTTGTGCACTGTTGGTGGGAATGTAAAATGAAGCACCCACTATGGAAAACACCATGGAGGTTCCTCAAAAAATTAAAAACAGAATTACGATATGATCCAGCAATCCCACTTCTGGGTATAGACCCAAGAGAAGTCAAAGCAGGACCCCAAAGAGATATCTGCACCCCCATGTTCACTGCAGCATAATTCACAACAGCCAAGAGATGGAAACAATCCATGTATCCATTACTGGATAAATGGAAAAAGGAAACGTGGCATATACCTAAAGTAGGACATTATGTAGCTTTAAAAAAGAAAGAAATCCTGTCACATCGATGATACGGATGAGCCTCCAGGACATTACACAAATGAAACAAACAGTCAAGGTCCTTGTACAAGAGGGGAGATGCTGTGGTTTCCACTCTTA